TCCCGCTCGTCCCCGGCGATAAAGTCCCTTCATCCGGGCGCGCTTCGCTCTTAACAAGGGCCCCCGAGGCGGGCGCTGTGTGTCTGTGTCACACGCATACGCGCTCGTTTTCTCTCTGCCCGCTCACCCTGAGGGCACCGAGTCTGGCTGACATTTCAGCAGCCGTCAAGGTTTTGGATGGGAAATGTAATCTTGCAATCACTCCGATGACGTAGGAAACAGGATTGTCTCCTGAAGTCTCTGCTTGAGCTGCACGGTGTTGGCTCTGCTGGGGTCATGAGTTAAAAAACTGGGAAAACATTAAACGAGCAATGGCAGCAGGGATGGACTGTACGTGTGGAAGCAGACAGAGACCGTATCTGCCATTTTTAGGTAGAAGCGTATTCGAGTAGAGCAACGTTTTTGGATTATTGTACAGGTTAACATACAGAAAATATTTCCCTGGCAGAGAAAGAGAGTACTGGAAATGCTGTTTTCCTATCTGATACTGTTAGTATCAGAAAGCAGCATATGTATTCTTTCTGCCAGTGGCCTTTTGATAAGTGACTTGTTGATAATCTGAATGGTAACTGTAGCTGTTTTCTTTTCCCGCTTTGCTTTCAGAGACTTGAACATACCATTCTGCAGGATGTTGGGATTCCTGAAGCAGCCAGTTGTGGTCACTGCAGAAATCAATCTGAATCTGGTGGCCCTGACTGTGATAGGATTAGTAAGCCGGATGTGGGCACTCTCCTACCCAACGGCTGTGGTGTAAGCACAGTGCTTCACTTGCTGCTTAAAATATGTGGGATAGTTTGCAAGTGAGAATATAACAGTGATGAAAAGTGCTGGATTGGCAGCTCAGAATACTTATGGATAGTATGGTTTCAGCACATGTAATGGCAATGCAAGCATCCTCACCAGCATGCCTTAACTGTGACCTAGAGCGGTGTTTCTCTACCTTTTTTTTTTTTTTTTTAAACAAAGTACTCCTTTTAAAAAAATAAATAAATTAGAAGTATCCCCAGTACCTACAGTTTTCAGACACACACTTTTTTTCCTACCATTGCACCACATTTGTTTAAACAACTTAATCATAGCCAGGCGGGCGATTAAATGTTTGGGTGTAAAAAGTACAAAAATAATAAAGTGCTGTAAAATTTAAAACTAAAATTCAGTTTTCCTCCAAATTATGTTGATCTACCCCCCAGACTTCTCTCGAGTACCGCTAGGAGTACTCATACCACTGGTTGAGAAACACTGACCTAGTGGACTGAAAGCTAAATCTCTATGCTCCATTCAATCCCTCTGCTGATTCCCAAAGGAGGAGTCAGTTAATGTCTCCATTACTAAGATATCAATGTATTGTGAGATGTTTCTAGTTAGATTTGACACGTTTCTTTCTCTGTGGTGTTTCAGTTTTGATGAAGTTTATTATGGCCAGTTTGTGTCTCTGTACATGAAGCGGATCTTTTTTGTGGATGATAGTGGCCCGCCATTTGGCCACATGCTGCTAGCTTTTGGAGGTAGGGCACTCCACTGAACTTTAATTTAGGAAACATGTATTGCCTTTGCTTTGGGAAAATAGGAACAGGATGCACATATGTTTTCAGTTCTCAGATTCTGTTAGTGTGGAGAAGGTATATCTGTTAGTGTGGAGAAGGCAGAATTTCTAATACAGAGCCCTTCTGATTTCACCTGCTTTAGAACGGGGCTTGGCAAGATGCGGCCAGGGGCTGGATCCAGCTTGCCTAACACTTTGATCCGGCCTGCGGATTGCATCTGGCTGCTTTCAATTTATATCCTGCCTGTGCCACCAAATTTCCAGGCAGGGACTATGGCAGCAGGATCCTGTTTAAATGGCTCCAGACTCCCAGTTGCCACACTATCCCAGCAGGGGCCAGAGCTGCAAGCCTTTTAAATAGCCACAGCAACTCTGGGTGGCTGCCAGGCAGCATGGTAGTGGCCCAGAGCTATGAGGCTTTAAATAGCAGCAATTTAAAGGGCTCAAGGCTCAGAGTAATTTAAAAGGTCACAGTAGTCGCAGCAACCACAGATGGCTGCCAGCTAGCAGCAATCAAGGCTCAGAGTAATTTAAAAGGCTTCAGGTCACAGTAGTCGCAGCAACCACAGATGGCTGCCAGCTAACATGGTAGCAGCGGGGCTTAGAGCCATGAGCCCTTTGCTGTGTTTTAATTCAAAGACTCTGGCCCCAGACGGCTCTGGGGGAAGGCTAGTCCTCAGGCCCTGCCCCTTCCAGTTAGTGGAGTTGGCCCATCACCATGTACCAAAATTCATTAAGTGGCCTCCCTGCAAAAATTATTGCCCACTCCTGCTTTAGAATGACTATATGGACATTGAACTAGTGGCTTGGAGTGCGGGAGGAGGGAAAGTGGTGTAACTCTATATGTGCACCATTCACCATGATCCCTATCCATTTCCTTAGTATGATGGAGGTGTCCCCAACAATTCCATCTTGCTCTGAGATAAACAGGCAGACTGAATCATACTGTACAATAGGGATGATAGACAGCGATTAATTGAATCATGTAACTGCACAAAATATTATCAGTTGCATGATTATTCTATAGTTCCCGGGGGAGTTGGGCCCAGCAGCCAGTGCACTCCCAGCCCTACTCCCGGGGAACCCCTGACACCATGTGCTGCTGCTTCTGTATTAGAGGCAGCAGTGTGGGGTGGCAGCAGGCTCTGTCCGGGGGATAGGGAGATACAGATGGCTCTCTGTGTGCTGTGGGGAAGTGCTCCTTGTAGGTTTTGCCCCCCACTGTTCCCATTGGCTGCAGTTTGGCCAATGGAAGCAACAGGGGGTGGTGCCTGCAGAGAGAGCTTACCCACAGCACACAGAGCAACTTCTTTCCTCCCTGCCAGGCAGAGCCCGCAGGCCAGATCTGGCCCTGGCTTACCTTTTATTCTATAGTTCCCGGGGGAGTTGGGCCCAGCAGCCAGTGCACTCCCAGCCCTACTCCCGGGGAACCCCTGACACCATGT